CCCCCCCCTACAAGCTCCCTTAATAGAATATTGTTATACTATTAGCATTTGCAACTTTGCATGGTTAGGTCTTTAGTTTTAATTTCAGTGAGCCTAGATTAGAGACATTCGTCTGGAAATCTTTTTTTTTTTTCTTGATGTGATGTTGAAAATTACTCGTTCTTAGGTGGTGGGATTGCATTGCATTGCCGGAAGATGTCGAACCTTCTAACGAAGTTGCATTCCGAATGCAAATAAGAGAGATGGCTTTCACGGTAAATAACTTTCTTATTAGAAATTCTTAGTTATACTGCTCCTGTTGAATATGCTGATCTTAGCATGATTTTTATATATAACCCCATGAAATTAAATTTGCATATTTGCAAATTTCAGTCACTGCAGCTCCTCAAGGAAGCAATTTTGGAGGAAGGATGTGAACCATGTATCCTTGCAAGTTAGGAATTGATGGGTATATATATGTTTTCCTCTGTTTTTGTCGAAGCCGATTTCAGGTCCTTGACTATACTACTAGTATTCTCCCTTGAAATATATGGCCAGATAATTGGCATGTTTGAGCTAAATAATCTGTACGTTTCTGTTTGTAACCCTTCCATCTTTTTCTTTTGATATCCGCAAAATATTGTTTGTAATCTCAAGCCATCATGAAGTTAATATCAAATTTGCATGTGTGGTTCAGTGATTTGGTTGTAGCATCACCGGTAGAGGATTACTTCTTGTATGTTGACGAACTTCCATCTCCTTATAAGGTTAGAATGCATGTCCTTTATACATCAAAGATCCTGGAATTGCAAGCCTTGATGCCTAGGATTCTTAATGACAGGAGAAGGCAGAGGAAATTACCCGACCCCTTTTGGATGTTCTCGGCAATAGCTATTCAATCTGTTGTCAAGGTATATGTTCATCCTTGTTTCCAAGTAGTAGCAATTGAGATTCTTTCCTTAAACAAGTAATGTGTTCTTTGGTCATTAATACTAAAAAATGGGAGGGTGTTGACATATCCCAGGTACAGCGTTTTTCCCTTTACAGAGTTGTATGAATCATTCCTGCTATCCTAATGCAAAAGCGTTCAAAAGAGAGGAGGTATGTAAAATCAGCTTAATATTTCATGGATTTTATTGAATTCAACGGGAGCCCTTTTCTAGTATTTGTATATGTAGTTTGTTTTTGGATCCTTTGATTTGGAGTAGCATGTTCTTTCATTTTCGTCCTGAAAGCTGTTAGTTTTATGTTCTTTATAATCATGGCAGGATAGAGATGGAGAAGCAACCATAATTGCAGTGAGGCCCATCCATCCAGGAGAGGAGGTAATTCAGGACTAATATGTATTTATGAACAAGTTGTATGAAAATATATTGAGGCAAATAGTGGATGTTTTCAGGTCACAATTTCATATATAGACGAAGATCTTCCATTTGAACAGAGACGAGCATTACTTGCAGATTATGGGTTCGAATGCAGGTGCCCCAAGTGCTTACAACAGCAGCATCCATAGGCAAGCCGCTCCCTGTGGGATCTCCTCCCAACGAGATGAGCAAACAAAAAGAACTTTCACTGTTATGAACATCCATAGCAATTCCTTTATTACAGTATGATTCCTAGTTTTGTAGGATTAGACAAATAGTAGAATGAGCAAATTTGATTTTGTTATGGCAAATTGGTGTTTAACTCAAAACCAAATTTTAGGTTTGGTATTTAATATGAAAATTTTGAATTGTGTTATCGTCACCCTTTAATATATATTAGCCTCGAGGTGACCTGTTTGAATGAAGTTTACTCTCATGGAGACCCTCATAGCTATTTCAACCTAACGGAAAAGAACGCTCAAGTTTGATGAATTTAACTATTATAATCAAATTCGGCACTCTTCCAGGTGACTAGTTTCCCTTAGAACAGAAGTTATTTTTAAATTTTGGTATCATACCCATATCCTTGAACCTATACAAAATTGATTAAAAAAAGAACCAAAATGTAGTTTTTAAATTTTAATGCTTTTTCAAAATTTTTAATCTATCTATAAAACAAATGAATCATCTGTTTAAAAATTGGATTCAAACAACAATTATGAACATCAATAAATAACAAAAATGTAATCTCTTGATTGTATTACGGAGTAAAATTTACAATTACAAGCCGATATAAAGACCGCTGAATATCAATGTTCATCCAGAAAGTTATAATTGTCTTCTATCTAAATAAATACAATGATTTGCCAAATTCTCCAATGCTAAGTACCGAACTCGTATACCTGCAATAAAGAACTACAAATACATGACAGAACTTGTAATTAGTAAAACATTTATGAAACAATAGAAAGGTCAGGGAAATTTGTCTAGTTCGTACTAGAATAGAACAAGCCTACAAATATATGCAATGTAGAAGGAAAAAAATGTAAATTTGAAAGATCTGAGCATCAGTTTTAAAAAGCTCGAATTTGTAAACATCAAAGAGAAATCAGCTCTTATGAATTTGTATCATCATTTGCTCAGATAGATAATACATACAATTACTAAGAAATGATTAACAAAACATTAGTTTCGTGGTTAAAATGTCTATGGTGTTTCCAGGATTAAATGGGATTGAGACTAACCATCAATCAGGATGACCACATTACTGATATTGCGTCCGTGCCATTATGCCTAGAGGAACTGTATATCCCCCAGAATTGGTAATGGACGCAGTTCCAAGCCTAATATACTAATAAGGGACACAATGGATGAAGCTTAATCTATAAGGAGAAGCTCAGTGGAAGGAGAAGTCGTTTAATATAAAGGCTCACGGCATAACTTAATTAAAAGTTACGTCCACTGCCCAAAACACGTCTAAGTGTTTCATCTCATCATAGCTTCATCCTCCACATAACCACTACATAAATCTACAGAACGAATCAACAATGATTAAAAACAAGGCTTCAGTGTGTGTAACAGTCCGATCATTGATAGAAAAATCTCACTGAAATCCGCTAAGATTATATAAAACATCATCATAAGCCCATAGAATCAAATACTCGATCCAAAAGAACATCTAAAAGAAATCAGCGGACACTACAACATACCAAAATTCAAAACAGTGCTCAGACAGCCAAGGGTATTTAATCAGATACCGGGAATTGTACCCAGATCAGAAACTCTAGTCCACGAAAATAGCCTCATCACAGCACTACAGCGCAAATCAAAAAGATGAAAAAGAAGATGATAATCGAAATTGAAGGGGGAGAAACAAATAGACTAAATACTACGGAACATGCCAGGAAACTGCTACACTATAGTCCCTGAATCGAGAGATTTGATTGGAAGCATCAACTGTAGAGAGGGAGAGCAACATAAAAAAATGAAGAAGAAGACGACGATATGGAGATGAAGGTCGAACGGTGAATTTATAGGCCATCGACTGGGAAATTAGGGTTTCTCACTCTAGACTGGTTTAGGATTCTTTTTCTAGATTTCATCGTGGCGGCTAATGGACTGGGCCTGAACATCATACGACTAGGTCTACCATTCAGTTGTAATTTAGCCCGTTAAATGAGGCCCACGGACTAAACTTCCAGTCTCTTGTAATTAAGCCCATTAAGTGTTTAGCCCATTAAATGAGGCCGACGGGCTAAACTTCCAGTCTCTTGTAGGTAGGCCCATTAAGTGTTTAGCCCATTAATTGAGGCCCATGGACTAAACTTCCAGTCTCTTGTAATTAAGCCCATTAAGTATTAGCCCATTAAATGAGGCCCACGGACTAAACTTCCAGTCTCTTAAGATTATGCTCCTGTCTTTATTTTTATTTTTTTCCGTTAAATTAATAAAAATACTTTTAAATTTTGTATTATTTTTAATATTTTTAATATTTTTTTTTAAAAGAATCTAAAAAAATGTTATTATTGTTAATTTTGGATGAAAATCATTAAAACATGTTAATTTTGGATGAAAATCGTTAATATTTTATTTTTAAAATACTTTTAAATTTTTAATAGCATTTCAAAAACAATCTTGAATTTTAAAAACATTTACTAATACTCTTTCACCTTTTTTAAAAGATCAATAGTGTATTTAAAAAAAAAAAATATTCAAACAAATAGTATAACCTAGTTGAAGTTCTAATGATATAACCATTAAATGTATATAAACCCATATAAAAAATAAAATAAAATGTGAATTTCTATAATATTGTTTGGTTAGGATAATGTCGTAATTAGAATCCCAAGGAGGGGTAATTGCGTATTTTAACTTTTTAATGAGACATCTTGTAACAGAATTGGAAAGAAACTGAAAGAGTCAGAAAATCATCCATACAAATGATTGAAATCAGAATATTATTCACCCGACAGAAGAAAGAAAGAACATTGCAATGGAATTACAATTATTGAAGCCACAAATCTCCCCAAGAAAAAAGGAAAAATTCCCAACTAAGCACATGGAAGAACACAAAATCAAAGGTTGCAAGAAATCATGAACTGTAATTTGGAATCTATCAACCATTCACGACGGCGCATCTCCTTCTGATTTCACCCTCAGTTCCAGTCTTCACTTTAATCCGCCCCATTTTTTCAATGGATGCTGCAAATTCAGAGAAGAACTCTTCAATGGGTCCTTGAACAAGTTTCTGAACTAGGCCCAATGTAGTTGCGCCTTTAGTGAGAGCAGAATCGGATTCGAAAAGCCCTCTTCTTTTGAGAAGAAGAGAGTAGTAGCTAAGATCGAAAGTGTTGCGGCTTCCAGGGTCCATCTCCACCTTGCTGTTGTCGGTCGGAGTTTTGCATTTGTTGGCCTTCAGGTTAGCGGCGTATCTTGGATCCAGAGAGGGATCTTGGTCTCCTACGCCGGTGAAATTGTACAGTCGGTTTCTGAATGATGAGCAGTGTGCTATGCCGATTGTGTGAGCGCCTGAAGTGATCATTGCACGCAAGGTGTTTGAGAAAAGTACTGAGTGAAGAATTGAGTTAGTTTTTTAGTTCTTTGAATTATTGAACTCACCAGATAGTAATACCAAGTCTTTCAGATCAAGGCCTTGGTCTTCGAACAGTCTTTGGAGTGTTGAAAGGTTTCCAAAAGGAGGAGGAATGTTAGCCAGGGCTTCTGATGACCTTGAGATCACTCCATCCCTCCGGCCAGTCGGAACTTCCCAGTAAGGACCTCCCTGCACATAGAAAGTAATAAGAATCACGACCCTCTACATTGTATGATATTGATCACTTTGAGCATAAGCTCTCATTGTTTTGCTTTGGACTTCCCCAAGAGGCCTCGTACCAATAGAGATGTATTCCTTACTTATAAACCCATGATTATTCTCTAAATTAGCCAACGTGGGACTCCCTCTCAACAATCATCACAATAGGAAAAAGAGTAAAAACAGCCTCGAACACTGAAAAAGTAGAAGGGCATTGGATCCTTACAGTGGCTACAATGGAATCTCTAGTAACCAAGGAAAGAACATCTGCGCAAGAGACCACTCCAGGGCATTCAGCTTCAAGTAAGCTTTTAACTCTATCAATGAAGTCAAACCCTCTTAGTGTTTGATTTGGAGGAGAATCCTTCTCAGCTTGGTTATTTGAAGTGGAGTTTATAAGCACAGACCCATCACAACCCTGTCAAACAAAGAGAAGTAGAATCAATTGCTTAGAGGAGTTATAACGGTCAAGAATGGTTATGAAGCTTGAAACTCAAAGAACAGTACCCTAACAAAGCAATCATGGAAGTGCATTCTTATGAAAGTTGCTGCCAATGAAGGGGCATTATGGATATGCTGATGAACGAAATCCAGCACAATCTTCTCAGCGTTTGGGCAGCTTTTGGCATAGAAACCAAGCTGTAACTGAGCTTGAGTGGCGCCTATCAGGCCTAGAAGACCAACAATAGCGGTCAACACCAAAGAAGTAAGCCTGCCCGTTCTCATTCTCTAAATTTACTTCTGTTGTGTGCTTGACATTCTATCACAGAATGAAGAGGCTTATATACCTAATAGAACAAGCAAGACAAGGAGCAAACTGTTGGAAAAGGTCCACCATACATTTAAAATATTCTCTAGGTGAAGCTTTACAGTAATCAGTATTTTATAATCCGCCATATTCTATTATAGACTTGATTAGTTAGGCACGTTGCTTGTAGGACAACAAGAACAAGTTCTTCTGATTGTGCCACTGTTTAATTGTTTACAGAAAAGCAGTAGGTAGCCATGAATGACTTTATCTGTAAATCATGGATCTTTGGTCCACATTGAAAGATTTCAACACACATACAACAAAATCCAGCTAAATATAGGGCCTGTCATCAAAATTATAGATATTGCATAATGATTTTATCTTTACCCATGTTTGAAAGAATCATGAGAAGAAGAGAAGAACTCCTGATTTTTAGGGACTGAAGTAGAAAATTTACATCTGAAACTTGTGTATTTTTACTGTTTGGAATGTCTGTGATGCTTTGTGTATAATTAATGGTGGGTTTGGTTGGATGCAGGCGTCACTAAAGTTCGCAGCCCCAGGCCCTCAGCTATAAACTATGCTTAAAAAGTACCAAACAACTTGATTGGCTCACCTGCTCTGGAAACAGAGCACGTTATAAGACAATTTTCAATCAATAATTGCGCTCTTGCATGGCGGCTAGACATGAGAGCCGCCTAACAAAAGACATTGTGGATAGAGAGAAATGGTTTCTTTATTAATTGAGATGGTTCTAATGTTCTAAGAGCTTGGGAGCCGGGAGGCACATGGTTGGCCATTCCATATCCGGAGGAAAAGGTGACAATGAACCGGTAAACAGCAGCCTCAGAGGTTCATAGTTTTGAATTTTGAAGCAGCCGACCAAAATTGACGGCCAAAGCATGTGCTCTTGGAAAAGGATAACAAAAAAAATAACAAGATCCCACGTCGTTGGAGAGGAAAATGAAACATGTCTTATAAGTGTGTGGAGCCTTTTCCTATTAGACATGTTTTGGGCCAAAACATGTAATATTTACTAGCGTTGAGTTTGGGCTGTTACAAATGGCATATGAGCTAGACATCGGGCAGTGTGTCAGCGAGGACGCTGACCCCCGATTGTGAGATCTCACGTCGATTGGAGGGGGGAACGAAACATCCTTAGTGTGCAAACCTCTCCCTATGGATTGTGAAATCCCTACCTTGGTTGGAGATGGGAACAAGGGTTTAGAAACCTCTCTTTAATAGACGTGTTTTAAAATTATGAGGCTGACTGTAATGTGTAACAGACCAAAACGGATAATATCTATTAGTGGTGGACTTGAACTGTTATGGTATGAACGTATCATATGTTTTTTCCATAAGCAATCAAAAAGACTTTGAGTAATAACATTGATCAAGTCCCATAAATAGGTAAGTTGATTAGAACAGAATAGAATAGTTTTAGAAATTATATGATTGTCGTACCAAACCTTCCTAGCTGTTCTAAAATGGATATTGGCATAAATAGCCAAAGAGCCAAAAGCCATCGCTATCAGTTCTTGGGTTTACTTTAGTTGGGCATTGCTATTATTTGAAATATAAATTTAAAATTTACTTTCAATCTGTAAATAATTTATTAATAAACTTTAAAGAGACGAAAACTTGGAACATTAAATTTAATATTTAATCTTTAAAAATTATTAAAAATATGTTCAGTAGTTAAATAGATTTGTTTTTTTAAAAAAAAAAAAAATCAAAGAAATCAAACGTTTAAACCGATTTTTTTTTTAATTAATACATTTTAAGACTTTTTATTTACTTACTCTAGAGTTATATAGACTTTTTATTTACAGTTATATTTATCTGATGACTTATTATGGTCATTAAATATGAAAATTATCAGTAAAGTAGACTCGAAAAATGTAAAAAGAGTATTTGGGTTTTCTTTTTTTCTTGTAGTTTAGATTGCATGCTTAGAATCATTCAAAGACTTGTTCAAGTGTTCGTGTTATGTGATATTCGATCAACAAGGAATCCAAACTTTACTTTTCACTTCGAGTGATTTCTCATGCTTTATAATTTTTGGATACTTTAGATCTAAAAGTTTTATTTTTCAACAAGATTATTAGATCAAATGCTCAAGAATTGGCAATCATTTGAAACGAAATCAAATTGATGTCGAGGTTTTAATATTTGTGGACTAGGAGTTTGAATACCCAAAATGTTTAGTTTCAAAGGTTGATCGACCTGACCCATTGGGTTCATAATGGTGTCTTGATTTTGAATAGCTACATGCAATTCCTTAAATCCATAAAATTGACTTAAAAACATATGCATAAAGTTGGGTAAAAAAAAACAACAATTTCTAAGCAGGGATATAAATCTAGATTTTACATCCAACTTTTCTATAAAGTGCCTCCCGTGACATGAATATTCTACTGAAAAGAATGAAAGACGAATCTACAAGACATTCTCAAGTTCAAAATTCTTCAACTTTTTGATAACTTTTCCCAAGTTGCTATGCTTGATGTTCATCATGTTACTTTTTCTATATGTTTACTAGATCAACCAAACAGATAAAGCAGGAAGAAAGAAAATAAATAGGCACGGTCACCTGAAGGTCATGAACTGTAATCGAGTCGAGTGTTCTTGTCAAGCTCCATGTGAAGTCGAACAAAAGAAGATTTCATAGCTTGAGGTGACTCTGAGGTGGTAAGCCTTGAACTTTCATCATACAATGATACTTAGGTGGTGCAATGGCACCAGCATGTGTGCAAAGAGCCAGGACTGCTGGCGAGTGCCCGTAATAATCCCTCCCTTCGTCGACGAGCACGGGAGGATCTTGAGGTCGCCGATGCCATACGATCTTCGGAGGAACTAAATCATCTACATCCGCCTTCTCCCAGAAGTGGGATCCTCGCCAACTCTCACATTTAAAAACTCCACATGGTCTAGCTTTGTGTACTGATGGCCCAACATGAACGTCTGAGCAGTAATTACAGATCTTAGCAGGATATACCATTAACAGTTTCTGCACGCCCGTTCGAACTGTTTCCCACGCCCTGAGAGTTTCGGTTGCCAAAAGCCTCATCTCATTACCTGATAAAGGTTCATCCCTGCCTGAGCCACCACCACCACCACCACCAACTGAATTCCAAGTGCTTGAAGACAGATTTTCATCATTTGTATTGGCTCCAGCTTGCCAGCATAGTTCCACAACTGCTGGAACACGCTCAAACTTGAACCTCTCATCATGCTCATTAACCTTTTCGAAAATGTGATGGCGGTGAAATGCTTCTACTGGGACAAGGACATCATTCAAACCACCTCTGATCCACTCATGAACCTGATTCTTAGGCCCGCGTTTGTAACCGCCACAGCTTCGTATCAGATGACCTTTCTCACCAACATATACTTCTGGACAAAATCTATAAAAACAACAAAATGATCCTACAAGTATCAGAAACAGCCTTCACAAACATGTATTCACGTTAACAGCGGAGAGTTTTTAATATAATCTTCAAAAAGAACAGACTTAAACGTGTTCATGGGTCGTTTGATGTTTAGGCATCGACAATGATCCTTCTGCAGGTTCACCTACGGAAACCTTGTTACAACTTTTTCTTCCTCTAAATGATAAGGTTTAATGAGAACTTCTCATGATGTCGCAGGCAGCAAACCGCCCACGTCATCGCGATCCGAACACTTCACCGGACCATTCAATCGGTATGACCGACGGGCAGTGTATACAAAGGGCCCAAAGAATTCAACCTCGACTCCCCTTTACCAGAGAATTCATGAATTCCGGGCACCTCCAGTAATCTACGAATTTTAGAAGCAGAATTCTCAAACATGCATTCATATTAATACCTCAGGATTGTTCAATCTAAATTTCAGAAAGAACAGACTTCACAGACGGCCCAAGTGTGCATAAAGAACTAGATAATATGCATTGATGAATTTTTTGACCTCACTACCTGCGCAGGAATGGTCAGGTAATAGCTAGATGATAAGCAAGGCCAATCAGCATTTCAAAATGGTACGTTCCTATTACACATACTAGCTCAAGGGACATGCAACTTCAGATAAAAACTAAGTAAAAGAAAACGAAACAGAGTAAAATCATAACACAAAAATGAGAAATTAAAGATAGTTTGTTCCCGGGACACTGACTTGCAAGAGACAACCGGAAATTCTTTGAGAAGAGTGGAAACTCCATGAATAAGTATTGCCCTAGCTTCAAAGACTTGCTGTGCCACTGGAATTAGACCCTTTATAGGACAGTTATTAGCCCGATTTTGAATTCTCTTCAAAATCATTGGACGAAGCTTCTTCAAATCGACTTTAGAACTGTAGCATCGATGTAGCATGAATTCCTGCACAATATTCTCGCAGAACTTCCTTCTAAGAGCCATAAAAGGCATAGTTTTCATGATGCGAGCGCTAACATTTATCAAATCTTAGGAAAACGACAAGCAACAAGCTTGAAGGCATAAATTAAGATCTTAATCCAATCACATGAGCCTTCGAATTCAACGGCGAAAGTGCTCGGGTTGCGAGTAAGATAGATGATTTAAAGAACAAAGGATGAGATTTCGAGAGAAGACCGCAGAGAGACAGAGAGCTTTCAGAGACAAGATGAAACAACTAACAGCGACGCCGACGGAGAATTGAAGCCAGATTCGCGGACAGGAGGAAGAACAGGCATTTCCATAGACTTAATTTGCAGAATTGTGAGACCAAATGAAGATTTGCAGTTCCAGATGTCCAGAGGGAAAACGAGGGCGCCACAGAGACGAGGGCAATGGATCAAAATGAACCAAATTAGAGGAACGCCGGTCCGATTCACTCAGCGGCTAGTCTTAAAATGATCGAGAACCGAACCCGACCATACTATTGGGAGTCGAGTCTCTCACCTTCACATTACTCCGAATCGGTCTGCGCAGCTCGATTCAATGCTTCAGATTCCGGTTTATTTTCGGGTTTTATTGATAGCCGATGACGTTAAAATGTCATTTTAATCTCTATACTTTCAAATTTGATTTATTTTGGTCTCTATATTTAAAATTTTTCTTAAATGTAATTTTAAAACATCAATTTTGGTTTATATACATTTCAAAATATAATTTTAGTTTCTTCATATCTCTTTATCAAACTTTTAGCGTAACACATTATTCACTTAAATTCGTAAAATGTGTTTTACTTCAAACAATTTTATGCTAGGAGATCTCTTAATTTTTTTTAGAATGCACGTGAATAAGGACAAAACATGTTGGTTAATATTTGTGTTAGTTTATGAGAACAGTTTTTATTTTTAAAAATCGAGAAGTAGATAACATGATTATGTCACAAAAAATACTGGAACCACTACCAGACACAACTCTTAAGTATATATCATTTTTGGGTATGGGTGAAATGCATCATGTTCTTTAAAAAAAATATTTTATGCCATCAAAATTGAGAGAATAAGACAAAAATAAACATATTGTTATTTTATTTTATTTTTTCTTAATTGTTAATTCGGGTACAAATAAATAAATAACAGAAAATGTAGAAGGCTTTTGAGAAATACCTCGAAGTGCTAAAAAGGGTAACCCAATCTATGGGATGCCCAAGGTCGCTATTCAATGGGTCCTCTTGGGCCCATTTTCCACCCTCCGAAGATAACCCAATTTCATTCTCACGCCTACCGAGGCAGCCACCACCTCCATCAAACCCATTTTAATCCTCATCCATTTATCCCATGAACTATGGCGGATAATATTTTGCTAGCCGTTTACACGTTATAAATGATATCAGTATCAAACACTTAATTTTGTATTAGTAAGAACTCGTCGGTCAGAATCTGACACCGAGCTATATGCCAAGCGAGAACGCATTAGGCTCCTAAGTATGATAATATCTCTCATTAATTACAAACGAAGTAATTCATTTACATACTCAATTCAGAGTTTATTAATGGATAGAAGTCCAGGTCATGGTTGACACCTGGTATCGATCCCTTCAACCCCTACGGATCATTTGATCCATTTCCTTACTCAACCGGCTGTCATCAGTTTTATCCTCAAAATTAAATGAATTTTAGAATATTTCTATACAAAAATACATTATGATCTTATACAATAAGATTAATTACTTTAGTTATCATCAAGAAATATAATTTAACTAAATTATATACTAAAACCATCCAGAGAGTGTAGGCTCAAATGCATGCAGAAACTTTATTATAGAAAAATAAATCGGTTACCCTTTTGCATTCTCATTACGACACATCGCACGTCCGTCCATCATAAGTCGTGTCAACAGATGGATTCGACACGTCGGGTATTAGACATCATCTCTGGGTATGGAAGTTGGAAGTTCCGATGAACCGTTCTGAGTTTCATCATCAGACGCCAATTTTGACCCACATACGTCAACAACGGGTGAATTTAAGCATTCCCACTGAAAATTCATACATAAACAAATATCAGATTAACAAAAGCCCTAAGAACAATTAACAAAGATTGAAGAAGATGAAGATGATGACAGAGATAAGTATGGAGGCAGAGAGGGATGGGTTTCCTTTGCGTGCTCTGCAAATGCACCTCACAACGGACAAGTTTCCATCAATCTCTGTAGATAAGAACCAAGAAAAAAAATTGAAGCCAAAATCAAAATGTATTTTCCTTCGAATTTACCATATACAGCAGAACACAATGGATGAACGTTCTTGGTTTCTGTAGCCTTCTCTTCTTATCTAAAACGATAATTAATTCACTTTTACCCATATCAGCTCGCCCTTTTTGTTCTTCCCCATTATAAATATAAGGCCATGGATGAAACCTTCTGCATTGAGCTGTGCTGAGCTGAGCTTTGTCGTTGTCGAGAAAGAAGAACCAAGTTCTGGCAATGGCTACCTCCTTCTCTGTTCCTTCGATGGTTTGTTTGAACATCCCCTGTTTTGGAATTTTGAGTTGTTGGGATGTTTTAATTCATCAAATCGCGAAACCCAGAAGAAATTTGCTGTTAATTTACCTCTCAATTGTTGTAATTCATCAGAGAAGAATAGTAACTAATAGTTGAAATTTCTTGATGAAACAGATAATGGAAGAAGAAGGAAGATTCGAAGCGGAAGTTGCAGAGGTGCAGGCATGGTGGAATTCTGAGAGGTTCAAGCTAACACGACGGCCGTACACGGCAAAAGACGTGGTGTCACTACGCGGCAGCCTGAGACAAAGCTACGCCTCAAACGATTTAGCTAAAAAGCTATGGCGAACGCTCAAAACCCACCAAGCCAACAGCACAGCTTCGAGAACATTTGGAGCTCTAGACCCTGTTCAAGTGACGATGATGGCTAAGCATTTGGACAGCATTTATGTCTCCGGCTGGCAGTGCTCCTCAACCCACACCTCCACCAATGAACCAGGTCCGGACCTCGCCGATTACCCATACGACACTGTTCCGAACAAGGTTGAGCATTTGTTCTTCGCTCAACAGTACCATGACCGGAAACAGAGGGAAGCGAGGATGAGTATGAGCCGAGAGGAACGAGCCAAAACCCCTTATGTTGACTATCTCAAACCGATTATCGCCGACGGCGACACCGGCTTCGGCGGCACCACCGCCACGGTGAAGCTCTGTAAACTATTTGTGGAGCGCGGTGCCGCCGGTGTTCACATTGAGGATCAGTCCTCTGTGACGAAAAAATGCGGTCATATGGCTGGGAAAGTGCTGGTGGCGGTTAGTGAGCACATCAATCGGCTCGTAGCGGCTCGATTGCAGTTCGACGTGATGGGGGTTGAGACAGTTCTCGTGGCTCGAACCGACGCGGTTGCGGCGACTTTGATTCAAACGAATGTTGATAGTAGAGATCATCAGTTTATTTTGGGCGCGACGAACCCTAATTTGAGAGGAAAGAGCTTGGCTGGGGTTTTGGCGGAAGCCATGGCGGCAGGGAAAACAGGGGCGGAGCTTCAAGCGCTGGAAGATCAATGGATTTCAATGGCACAATTGAAGACATTTTCAGAATGTGTAACGGACGCGATCATGAATTCGAACGGAACAGAGAGTGAAAAGAGGAGGAAATTGGATGAATGGATGAACCATTCCAGCTACGAGAAATGCATATCGAACGAACAAGGTCGGGAAATCGCAGAGAAATTAGGGCTGAAGAATCTCTTCTGGGACTGGGACTTGCCCAGAACCAGAGAAGGGTTTTACAGGTTCAAAGGTTCAGTAATGGCGGCAATCGTTCGCGGTTGGGCTTTCGCGCCACACGCGGACCTAATCTGGATGGAAACGTCGAGCCCTGATTTGGTGGAGTGCACCACTTTCGCAAAAGGGGTGAAATCGGTGCACCCAGAAATAATGTTGGCTTATAATCTATCGCCATCTTTCAACTGGGACGCATCGGGAATGAGCGATAAGCAAATGGAGGAGTTCATCCCTACGATTGCGAGGCTGGGTTTCTGCTGGCAGTTCATAACGCTGGCAGGTTTCCACGCCGATGCGTTGGTGATCGACACATTTGCGAGAGACTACGCGCGAAGGGGAATGTTGGCTTATGTGGAGAGAATCCAAAGAGAAGAAAGGAACAACGGAGTGGACACACTGGCTCATCAGAAATGGTCCGGAGCTAACTACTACGATCGGTATCTGAAGACAGTTCAAGGCGGGATATCGTCGACCGCTGCCATGGGAAAAGGCAAGCAGAGTCCAAGCGTTCGACATTGTGAAAGTGTTTAAAAACAAGTGATAATCGTTTGAATTTTGATTTGCAGGGGTGACGGAGGAGCAGTTCAAGGAGTCGTGGACGAGGGCGGGAGCAGGGAACTTGGGAGAAGAAGGGAGCGTGGTCGTGGCGAAGTCGAGAATGTAAGAGGAAAGGGAAAAGAAAGGAAGCTCTAAGAACAATAATAATTTCAATATTTGAATTTCAAGAATCAACCACTTTTAAGTTTGGTTTTTTCAATGTGTTTGAATTTCATGAATCAGCATTTTGCAATGTTCATTGTATTGTATTTTGTGTTTGATATGGGTATCTATAAAGATATGGAAGATATCAACCATGAAACTGAATTCATATTTTGGGTATCATTTCCATCGGTTACTTCTTCCATGGCTTCAGCACTGAGAGGACTATTATGAGTGCTATAACCAGCAGCAATATGATGGCGATCATCATGCATTTTCTTGATTTCTTTTGCAAACTTTTTGCTGTATGGAGTGCATCGGTTCCTGTTCGAACGTGGTCGACTGCATTCGTTACCTACATTGTTGCAACAAATTCAGCTTAATCAACTTAGGACTTGGCAGTACTATGCACAAAAAAGAATATCAGACATGGTTGGATCACACAAACAAACTATAATAGCAATTATGAACAGAAGAATAACAATGGTAACGCGGATTCTCTGCATTTTGAAACGAAATCATCGTCGAACGTGATCGTATGCATACCAAGAAGTAGGACCAACCTGATTTTCTATGTTGTCCAGAATTTCACTCTGGGCTTCCACTAAAACTGCCATGTCAAGGTATACCTGACCAAGAAAAGAGAAACACATAACACTGCTTAATGTGTGAGATTCTACGTTGGTTGGAGAAAAGAACGAATCATATTTTATAAGGGTCTGGAAACCTCTCCCTAGTGTAGAGGTGTTTTAAAAACCTTGAGGGGGTGTTTTAAAAACCTTGAGGGGACACCCAAAAGAGAAAGTTCAAAGAGGACAATATCTTATAGCGGTGGGTTTCGGCCATTACAAATGGTATCAAAGTCAAACACTGGGCGATGTGCCAACAAGGAGGCTGAGCCCAAAGGAGGTGGACACGAGGTGGAGTACCAGCAAAGATGTCAGGCCCTGAAGGGAACGAGTGTCAGTGAGGACACTGGGCCCTGAAGGGGGTGGATTGGGAGGTCTCACATCGATTGGAGAAGGGAACGAGTGTCAGCGAGGACACTGAGCCCTGAAGGGGGATGGACTGTGAGGTCCCACATTGGTAGAAGGGAACAAAACATTCTTTATAACGGTGTGGAGCATTTTAAAAACCTTAAAAAGAAGCCCAAAAGGGAAAGTTCAAAGCAATATCTGCTAGCGATGGGCTTGAGCCGTTACAAAATGTATACCTGATGCAATTCCGATAGCCTTTTCTCAATTTCTTTAACCGCGTCATGTCGCTCCTGAATTTCTTCCACAGTACTGATAACCTGCATCAATGTACAGATCATAAAATTATGAATAGCCACAGTTAATCAAACATACAGGGATGCAGTTCGAAGATATACTTTCTGGTGAACAATAAACGTAAGAAACTGTACTCAAGAACGTACCATTCCTCGTCCCATATGTTCAAATGCATTCTGGAATATTTGTTCACTATTTCCAGTTTCTATAAGCTGATCAATCATCTAATATAGTCATTAAAATTCTGGTCAGCACAACAAAATTTCGGTTCGTTCTTAAATTTCAAGTCTAGACTTGAAAGTTCAGCTTACCATCTCATCTGGTCGGGTACCGGTAACTGCTCGATAAAGTCACACAACGATAAAGTTCATATTAGAAAAGGATAACCATGACATATCTACACACAATCAATCATGAACAAGAAATTTGAACCTGTAATCACTCGTCTTTCCACGACTTCACGGTACTCGTCTTGAATTCTTTGACGAAGGGCCTGAAACATGATAGAGGATGAGAGGTGAAGGTAAAGAATCATATCAAATAATAACAAGGAGAGTTCAGAATACCTGAAATTCTATCATCAAATCCTTGAACTTTTTTGTTAAGGAACTGCGATTCAAAGATTAATTCAACTATGAGGAACATTATTAATCCAAGAAAAGCATTAAGAGTAAGATGTTGTGGGTAGCAGACTTTGTCACGTTCATTCTTGCTCTGTCAATGGCTGTTCCCTTTTGGCACCCAGGCTTCTGCCTATTGGTCAAGTTCTGGAGAGAAGAAAAGTGATTAGTATGCAACTGTTCATCAAATAATTGAGAAATGGAAAATCTTCGAGCAAGTCGAGTATTACATCTTTATTTAGAGCTTCCAGATTCCCTTTGACATTGCGAGCTATTTTTCCCACTTCATCGATATCCTTTTCCATACGCTTCTTGATAGCTGAAATGACAAGAACACTTAGAGCAATAAGAACAAGTATTCATAATTTATGGAAATTGTCTGGCGGCGCCTTGTGGATGTGAGATTCCATATCGGTTGGAGAGAGGAACGAAGTATTTCTTATAAGAGTGTGGAAACCTCTCCCTATGTTTTAAGAATGTGAGGCTGATAGCAATACGTAACGAGCAAAAATGAACAATATTTGCTAGTGGTAAGCTTGGGCTGTTACAAATTGTATTAGAGCTAGATAATGAGCGATGTGTCAGCGAGAACGCTAGGCCCCCAAAGGGGTGGATTGTGAGATCTGCATTGGTTGGAGAGGGGAACAAAGACGCGTTTTATAACTGTGAGGCTGACGGTGATATATAACAGGCCAAAAGGGATAATATCTGCATGTGGTGGGCTTGGGATATTACAGATGGTATCAGAGCCAGGCACTAAGCGATGTGTCAACGAGGACACTGGGCCTCCAAGCGGGTGGATTGTGAGATCCCATATTGATTAGAGAGGGGAACGAAACACTTCTTATAAGGGTGTGAAAACTTCTCTCTAATAGACGCATTTTATAACTGTGAGACTGACGGCGATACGTAACAGGCCAAAACGGACAATATCTACTAGCGGTTGCCTTTGATTGCTACAAATGATATCAGAGTCAGGCACCGAACGATGTGCCAGCGAGAACCCTGGCTCCCAAGGGGGTGGATTGTGAGATCTCACATCAGTTGGAGTGGGGAACGAACCATTCCTTAAAAAGATGTGGAAACCTCTCCCTAGTAAACGTATTTTAAAACCGTGAGACTGACGTCGATACATAACGATTCAAAGCGAACAATATCTGCTAACGGTGAATTTGGGCTGTTATAAATGGTATTAGAGCCAAGCACCAAGCGATGTGCCAGCAAGGAAGCTAGGCTCCCTCCCAAGGGGGTGGATTGTGAGATCCCACATCAATTGGAGTGGGGAACGAACCATTCCTTAAAAAGATGTGGAAACCTATCCCTAGTAAACGTACTTTAAAACTGTGAGACTGATAACAATACGTAACGGGCAAAAGCGGACAATATCTACTAGCAGTGGGCTTGGGTTATTACAAATGGTATCAGAGCCAGGCACTAAACGATGTGCCAGCGAGAACACTGGCCCTCAAGGGAATGGAATGTGAGATCCCACATCGGTTGGAGTGGGGAACGAACCATTCCTTAAAAGGGTGTGGAAACCTCTCCCTAGTAAACGCATTTTAAAACCATGAGACTGACGTCGATACATAACAAGTCAAAACGAACAATATCTACTGGCAGTGGGCTAAAAACATTTGGTTCAATCTTAACCAAACTTTTTCTCTATGCAGCTCATAAAACAAAGAGACATACTTACCTTTCATCTGGGATGCTTTTGTAACAGCCTTGGATTCCTCATTAGCATCCTATAAAAAAGTTCATAATCATTCCTCCTAAATTCAAGGACTTATTAATCCAACTCAAAAGGACTCTTACACACCTTCAGTTTGATAAGAAGCCCAGAAAGCTTATCTACTTGTACCTCAACCTCTTGTATCTAAATTCAAACAAGAAGAAAGACTATAAATAAAAGAACAAACATGATATACAACAACGAGTGTCCATGGTTACACCTGCTTATTGAAGGCCTCCATTCCCATGTCAGAATTGTTAAGCAGAACTGGTGTTCCCTTCTCGATATCGATATCTCTCGATACCTCGCCTTTACCATTGCTAACAAACGAGTCCTTAGATAAACAACATGATATAGAATAAGTTGGAATCAATCTCATGAAATGAAACAAATGAAACCATTTGGGGATTATTTGTCAAGACACAAAAAGACATGAACTATCATTCATTAATTTCTCCAAAAGTACTAAATTCTCATGGAACAAGAACACAGAAAACAAATTACAGAAAACCCAGAAACCAAAACAGAAATTACCGTGAGCAAATCGTTCATCTGGATCAAAATCACAGCCCCAGACAAGAAAAAAGAGTAAAAAACCAAGAAGTGAAGAAAGGGCAGGGCAGAGGAAATGGAGGAATAATGGGTTTTGGGTTACAAAATTTAAAATGTATTACGTTTCTACCATGTTGGGCAAACCAGGGCAGCCGGCCGTAGGAAAGAGTTAGAACCAAAGATGGCAAGAAACGGACACAGCAGAAAACAAAGCGGTTACATTAAAATTACGAAGTCAATACCTTTTTGGAGTATTTTATGAGCTCTCTTCGTTTTTCTTCTGCGATTTTAAATTCTCCGCTCGATGCATTTGAAGGCTTGAAGCTGCCGTTTCACGTTAAAACCCACACCAAACCCACACCGGACCTTTCTGTTCTTAGATTTTATTGTTTATATGTCGTTTTTTTCATGGTTTAAATTTAGAAAATAATGAAAATGATCAGTCCGGCTTTCTCCGTCCCAAAAGTGCATTGTTGGAACTGAGTTGAAAAGTGCATTATTTAAGTTTATAAGTGAGGAATACTAATTAGCTCAAAACAAAGTTACTAGAGCTAAGTTGTATTAAAATATTAAAAATAGTGTCTATTTAATTTTTAAATTTTAAAAAATATCTTATAATTTATATATTTAGAAGTTTGAATGTAAGGAATTTAAGAGATTTAAAAAATACTTAAATTTTAAATTTTATGATGATTAAACTTACCCATGTTTTTTTTTCCTATGCAAATTAAAAATTATTGAAATTTTATGTTATTTCTAAAGAATTATTCAAATGGGCTGAGTTCTGACCATTCGGCTTCCAATGGGCCTATATTCTCTGGTAAATGGGCTTTATTTGGCCCAATAAACTATTGTTTTTATTTGATAATTTTCACCGCGGTGCATTAAGAAACTTGGTGCGGTTAAAGTCGAGATTTTACTTTTGGGTTCTGGGCTTATGGGTGAAAGCAACTTGCCTTTACCCTCAGGCACATGCCAGCTCATGCGAATAAGACCCAATCCAGTGCCCCTTCTTCATATTCCCCCACCCGACCCGACCCGACCCGGACCCAATCCAGTTATCACGTCAATTTATGAGGTTACTATAATTTGTAAGTGAGATCACATGACTTCCGATTGTATTGTATATATTTCGTATAATTTAATTTATAAATAAATAAATAAAATAATGGACGTGAAATAAATTCAAATTAAATAAGGAAAAAGTAGGAATGGAATAATGAATAAATATAAGTGTGTAAGGCTGAAGTACGAGGAAATGTGTTAATTTCTGAATGGAATGGACGATGATTTTGTGAATAAATATTGGACCATAATCAATTAATTACTTAATTAATCAAACCATTGTATTTTTCGATATTCTTTGGAGATTTTCACACAAATTTGAAAACTCGAGAAAGTGTATGATGCAGAATTAAATTTTGTTAGGATTATTTAGGAAAGACTGTGCTCGAAATTGGAAGTGAAAAATGTACGAAAGTTTACGCTTATTGAATATAGTATTGTTCTTGTTCATGTTGATTTTATGTATCACATGATGCGAATGTATAACGTCACATATTAAGCCATTTTAAAATGCACGTGAGATCGTAAGTTCAAAGTTTCTCTTCTTACCCGACTAATAATATTATTATATATATATATATGAATTTTGAGTTGCATGTTGTTGAAAAATGATGGCTGTTTAATGTTGATTGTTTGTTCAAAAGAGAGAGGAAGGTGGAGAGGGAGAGTGAAGAGTGCATGAAGGAAATAAATAGGGTTTGGCATGCACACCCCGTTGCTCAGAATCATTAAATACACACAAGAGCTCATGCCACCCACGGCTTAAGCCCCCTATCCCCTCATTTTCTCTTCCCAATAAATAACTATAACACCTTGAATTTTAGAACCCGACACTAAACGATATATATAGTAAGAATGCTCGACTCTTGAGAGGTGGATTGTGAACCTCACATCGATTGGAGAAGGAAACGAATCACTCTTTTAAAGGTGTGAAAATCTCTCCCTATTAAACTTGTTTTAAAACCATGAGTTTAACGACGATACATAACACATCAAAGTGAACAATATCTACTAGCAGTGAACTTAAAATGTTATAAATACCCTTAAGTCTCAAAAATATACTTACCATTAGTTTCGAATGAAAAAAATGAGTCATTTTTTAGTAATTATTTAAAAAATACCTATTAAATTTTAAAAATACAAATTAATACCCTTTACTGTTATAATTTTTTTTACTATGAATATATATAGATGAAAACTGTTACCCTAAAAAATTCACGAGCATGTTTTAAACATATTATTAATGGTAAATATATTTCTTACCTTAAATGTATTAATCAAAACAGTTAAAAAAAAAGTATTTTTGAAACATATTTGGCTGACACATTTTTTTAGATTTTTTTTTAATTTAAAAATATTATTGAAAATTTTAAATTTTATATATATTTTATTAATTTAGCCTTGTATATGAAACTCCGACTTTATAGTATATAATATTATTACTAGAGTTTCAGAGTCTCTAATTTATGAAGTAATAATAAATAAATATATATATATATATATATATATATATATGAATAATAATAATGGGATAATTCTTTCTTCCACATCGAAATCATTATTTAAAGATTTGATGTTTTTGAGCTTCATTTATTCCACCAAAATATTTATTACCACACCCAATATCTTCTAAATTCATCCCCTTAATTAATTCTATTTATCTCACATTTAATACCCACTTCAATCCTTAATCTTACGTTTCTAAACTATACATTATTTTTAATTTATATTTTCAGTTGAGAAATTACATTTATTGGAAAAAAAATAGAAAATAAAAAAAATTCACATATTGATATGATTTCACAAAGATTTAAAATAGACACGTTAACCAAATTACACCATACAAATATAAATGTATAACTCAACGACGAAGGTACCGTACTGATAGCATCTTTTAAATCAAAATCGTTCAAAGAATCATATGATGTAAAATGCTTAAACAAAAGTTTTTGCAATTGATAAAATTGATCTTTAAATGAAGTTCATAATTAACATAACTAAACTATTTTTAGCAACAATCTTATCATTATACAAATAAATTAGTGTCTCATCAATGAAATTAACATAATTGGTGTATAGTGATCTTCATACATAATAATACATATGCTTGGTTTATGTATACCCAAACCCATTTACATGATTAAGACGTATATTTGATCATAATGAAAGAAGAACGAGTAAGATGAATATTTGTTGTGACTATATAGCAAGATGGATTGATATCAATAAGAACAATACTGTGATATATGAGCAAAGGGTTTGGTAGCCGTCATTCGATGTTCTACCACATACACACTCTCATAAGGACTGAAATTAATCTCCAAACTTTCTCTCTCTACAATTACACCTCTTTCGCTCTCCATTAAATGCAATACCATCCTCTCTATACGCTCTGCAATAACTCCTCTTCTCTTCTCACTCTCCTTCCTCCATCTCTTCCCTTCGCCCTTTCTTCTTCTTCTGCAAATCATCATCTTCGTCTTCTTCTTCTTCTTCTTCTTCTTCTTCTTCCTCCACAAACCCCTGTTTCTGTCACCTAAAAATCCCATCTTTTTCCTCTTTTTCACACTCCCACAACTTTGGACATGTTCATTTTCCAAACGCAACAAAACCCAGATCAGATCTGAAGCCTTTTCACTTGGGTAAGCTTTTAAAAATAATTTTGACTCAAAAAAAGTTCAATTTTTTTTATCAAAGTTTGTACCTTTTTGTGATTTTTTTTGGGTGCAGATAGGAGAGAGAAAGAGAGAGCATTTTGGGATATTGTCCGAGATCTTCGTGGTTGTTTATGAAAATCTCACCAGGTTTTCCTGTCGGATTCTGGGTTCTGTCCTAATTTATAGCCTATTTTTTAGAGAGAGAAAGAGAAGTTTAAGATTACAAGGAGCTGCTAGTGTTCAATATGCCCGCCGGAATTATGACACAGGCGAGAAACATGCCATCGATGATTGGAAGAAATGGGAATAATGTTGGTGGATTTGTCTCTACTTCTGGCCTTGTTCTTTCTCAGGTTTGTAATTTCTTTTTTTTTTTTTTTTTTTTTTAATTTTTTTTTTTTNTTATTTTTTTTTTTTTTTTTTTTTTTTTTAAATCTTGAGAGATTTTCATGCCCTTTTTATTATTATTTTTTATTTTTTATATTTGACTTTCTAAAAGAAAATTTATGTTCTTTTTGGTAACTGTGAAAATCTTAACTGGTGGAGTGAAAAAGAGAGGAAAAAAAAAACTTTTGAATTAAGGCGATATTCCAAGAACTTGGGAGAAAAAAAAAACATTTTTTGTCGGATTAGTTTTGGGGATGGAAATTGAACCTAATTGCATTGGTGTTGTTAGATTGAAAAACCATAAGCTCTTGTGCTTCTCCCTCCCTACTACTACGGAATCTTAAAGATCTGTGGAAAATGTTCCAGTCAAGCATGATGGACGGTCAGCTCCTCCCCTTAGACATGCCTCAAAACACTTCTAAAAGCGATCTTGCTCGAATCCGAGACGATGATTTCGATAGTGCCACGAAATCAGATAGCGATAATAACCATGAACTCGTCTCTGGTGATGACCAAGATCCTCGTCCTAAAAAGAAGCGGTACCATCGGCATACTCAACATCAAATTCAAGAAATGGAAGCGTAAGTTTTGTTAAGTCTGAGCGGTGTTTGAATTGGTTTTAGATTATTATTGTTTTGTTTTTGTTTGGGGGTATAGATTTTTCAAGGAGTGTCCTCACCCTGATGACAAACAAAGGAAGGAATTAAGCAGGGAATTGAACTTGGAGCCTCTACAAGTTAAGTTTTGGTTCCAAAACAAACGCACTCAAATGAAGGTAACTAAAAACAACAAAAACAAAGCTCCCAAAAGACACTTGTTTTTGGTTACCTTAAACGTATTTGGTTTGGTTGAGACATTTGAGCTGTCTTTCGAAATGTAGAATCAACACGAGCGGCATGAGAACACCCAACTCCGAACAGAAAATGAGAAGCTTCGAGCCGATAACATGAGATATAGAGAAGCCCTTAGCAATGCCTCATGTCCCAATTGCGGCGGCCCTACTGCCATTGGTGAAATGTCTTTTGACGAACATCATCTTAGACTCGAAAACGCCCGTCTTCGCGAAGAGGTAATTTAATTTAGCTTCTTATAAAAAAATAATATTTATAAGCTTAATTTTGATTGTCTTGTAGATCGATCGCATTTCAGCCATTGCAGCGAAGTATGTAGGCAAGCCAGTAGTGAACTACCCTCTACTTTCTCCACCGGTTCCATCTCGACCACTAGAGCTGGGAATGGGCAACTTCGGACCACAACCTGGCCTTGGAGGAGACATCCATGCCTCCACTGGTGACCTGATCCGATCAATCAGCAGCCCGATCGAGGCCGAAAAGCCCATGATCATCGAGCTTGCAGTTGCAGCCATGGAAGAGCTTACTAGAATGGCTCAGATGGGTGAGCCATTGTGGATGACTAACCTGGATGGTTCGTCCCATGTGCTCAATGAAGATGAGTACTTGAGAACGTTTCCTAGAGGCATTGGGCCTAAGCCTGCAGGGTTTAAATGTGAAGCCTCTCGTGAATCTGCCGTTGTCATCATGAACCACATTAACCTCGTGGAGATTCTCATGGACGTGGTAATTAATTAATTATTAAATTTTGTTAAATAATGTATTAATTAATTATTAACATGATTTTTGCTTAATAATGATTATGATAGAATCAATGGTCGACTCTATTTTCTGGAATTGTGTCTAGAGCTATGACGCTTGAAGTATTATCCACCGGAGTTGCTGGAAATTACAACGGAGCTCTACAAGTGGTATGCATTAGAGTATTAAATAATTACTTGCCCGCTATATTAAATTACTACTAAGTTCAAAAACTTTAACCCAACCTTGTCTAGATGACGTCCGAGTTTCAAGTTCCATCGCCACTAGTCCCAACTCGGGAGAGCTACTATGTTCGATATTGTAAGCAGCACGGGGACGGGAAATGGGCAGTGGTGGACATTTCATTGGACGATCTGTGCCCTACGCCCGGAGTTAGATGCCGAAGAAGACCTTCCGGTTGTTTGATCCAAGAAATGCCAAATGGTTATTCAAAGGTGATTTTTTTTTTTTAAGAGAAATTTAATGTTGAGGATGGTTAGACTGAGTCCTACGTTGATTATTTTAGAGAATGATCATAGATTTATAAGTAAGAAATTTATCTTCAATGCTATAAAGCCTTTTAGAGAAGTCCAAAGCAAAGTCACTAGAGTTTATACTCAAAGTGGATCATACTATTATAAAGAGTAAAGAGTTGTGGTTCTTATAATATCCCTTGTTGGTCCCGAGGGATGGAGGAGACTAGGTTAGCCGAAAGATAGTTATCGGTTCAAGGATGCAAGGTGCCCTCTTTTTTTAAGGTAAGAAGGGGTAGAGAAAATATCTCGAGCCAATGTTCGAGTACCAGGCGCTACAATGCTGAAGCAAAAGGGTACCTGTACCCGAAACCGACATAGGTGGGTAGGTAGAGAATACCTAGGGGCGCGAGACAACTCTCTAAGGAACTCGGCAAAATAGCTTCGTAACTTCGGGAGAAGAGGTGCCTCCTTACAAAGGGGGTCGTAGTGACTAGGCCCGAACAAGAAGAAGTGCCTCCTCACAAAGGGAATCGCAGTGACCAGGCCCGGACGACTGTTTACCAAAAACACAGGTTCCTAATTATGTGTTTTTTTGTGGTAGGTTACATGGGTTGAGCACGTTGAGGTGGACGATAGAGGGGTTCATAATCTTTACAGGCAGCTGGTGAGCTCCGGCCAAGCTTTTGGGGCCAAACGGTGGGTTACAACCTTAGATCGCCAATGTGAACGGCTTGCCAGCGCCATGGCCACCAATATTTCCACCGGTGATGTTGGAGGTAATCATAGTTTCCGGATCAAAATGATAATAATATCAGCAATATTCTGTTACATTAATGGTGGATTTTGAAATTGAATTCAGTTATAACGAATCAAGAAGGAAGAAAAAGCATGTTGAAGCTAGCTGAGAGAATGGTGATAAGCTTCTGCGCTGGAGTGAGCGCCTCCACAACCCACACATGGACTACTCTGTCCGGTACGGGTGCTGACGACGTTCGAGTCATGACCCGAAAGAGCATCGATGACCCCGGGAGACCTCCGGGTATTGTCTTAAGTGCTGCAACTTCCTTCTGGCTTCCTGTTCCACCCAAAACAATCTTCGATTTCCTCCGAGATGAAAATTCTCGTAACGAGGTATTCAAATTTACTATAACTCATCCATTCAAAAACTTTGAACACTGAGTGCTTCTAATGCTTACAGTGGGACATTCTTTCCAATGGCGGAGTAGTTCAAGAAATGGCGCATATCGCCAACGGCCACGACACTGGCAATTGTGTTTCTCTCTTACGTGTAAACGTAAGTTATTGTATCAATTTCGGTCAAATGTATAAGAGATTGTCACAATGTAACTGAATAATTCTAAAAAAATCCGAACTTTTTGTAGAGCACGAATTCGAGCCAAAGCAACATGTTGATCCTGCAAGAAAGCTGCACGGACCCAACAGTGTCATTTGTCATCTACGCACCGGTTGACATAGTAGCGATGAACGTCGTCCTCAACGGTGGAGATCCCGACTACGTAGCACTTCTCCCCTCAGGGTTCGCCATTCTCCCAGATGGCGGCGGCGGAGAGGGGGTTTCGGGTGGGTCGTTGCTGACAGTTGCATTTCAGATACTGGTGGATTCGGTGCCAACGGCCAAACTGTCGCTTGGGTCGGTTGCAACAGTTAACAATCTGATTGCGTGTACGGTGGAGAGAATTAAAGCGTCATTATCATGTGATGCTGCGTGACCAAAACCGGAAACTTTTGTGGTTGTTAGTTATATTAGAAGAGAGTATGGAATGAGGGAATTGATTAAGTGTTTGGGAGAAGTCAAGAGCGCACCCTGCTCCAAAGAAGACAAAACAAAACATGTTTTAGGGGTTCGGGCATTGACTTCCTCGGACAGTGTAAAAGCTGAAACCACAAACAAAAAAAAAAAAAGAAAAAAAACAACCTTGGAAAGGGACTGTCTTTAGTAAAAACCTTGTATTTTATTTGCATATTGTTATTAACTACCTATCATTATGGATTCTTGATGGTGTGTTATTGTGTTTAAGCGGTACGAACCTTACCAATGGAACGATGATTGACATGTATTATTTCTCTTACGATCGAGATCCAAGGTTTAAGGTTTATATCCATATACTCTACTTGTCATAAAGAAACACGGGTTTGTCCTTTTAGTTCTCTTTTTTTAGTGCAATAAGTGAGACGATAGAACATTTCAATTGCTAGCTTTAACTAAAGAAGTGTGAGATCCCATGTCGGATGAAAGGAGGAACGGAGCATTCCTTGTAAAAGTGTGGAATCTCTCCATAATAGATGCGTTTTAAAATACCGTGAGGCTGACAATGATATATAATGGAGTAAAATGGACAATATCAGCTAACAATGGGCTTGGGCTGTTATAAATTGTATTAGAGCCAAACACTAGGCCTTTAAGAAGATAGATGGTGGAATCTCACATTGGTTAGGGAGGGGAATGAATCATTTGTTATAAGGGTATGAAAACCTCTTCCTAATAGAAATGCTTGAGGACCAAAAGTAACACGCTAAAATGGACAATATCTATTATCAATAGGCTTAGATTATGTCAAATAGGGTTGAATTATGCTAGTTTCAACAACAACTATGGTCGGTTAGTTATATCTATAATTACACCATTTTTAAAAAGTAAAGGGTTATATTTGAAGAAGTATAAATCATAAATGGTTAAGGAGAATACATATATTGTCATAAATACATAAGAGTTGAGAATTGGATATAATAAAGTTTGAAGTATGACAATTCATGGTGGGTTTTTTTAATTGTATGATTTTATTTTTATTTTTGGAAATTATATAATAAAAATTCATTAATGCTTTATAACTCAACGCTTTTCTATTTGCTTTTGTGCGCTTTATTACTCAATTACCTTTCATTACTCCGTACGATGCCGTTTTAGATTGCAATAAATGATAAATACTTCTTTCATTTCGCAAATTAATTATGCATTTATTTTTATCAATTTCTCTCCCTTCTAACAGAAAAATATTAATGTGATTAGTTAAAAAAAAAAACACAATTTTTTTTTGCATTAAATTAAATAAATAACGGTTCGATTAAGTGGTCCATACTGAACCAGACCGAGGCTTACTGGGTGGCTCGGTTGGTTTAATTCCTAATTTGGCGTGGGAATTACTTAGGCCGAATTGACCCGGTTCGGTAGGACAAACCCCCACCCTCCTCACTCATACAATACAGAAGGGCTGGGTCTTCTTCACTTCCAGATCTGCCTTCCTCTCCCTCTCTTCCCCTGATTTCTTTCTGTTCGTTTGGCCATTCTTCTTTCTCCTCAACATTTTGGTAACAAGGCAATTTTGTATGGTTTATTACGATCTTGAATACTCCGATTTTGTTCTTTTCTGATCGAATTCAGTTTTTTGATGTGTAAATCTCTTCTTTTGAATCTGACGATTTGATTGTATTTGGTTTCGCGACAGGTTGATTTTGCTTCTCGAAACGGTTGGAACATTTTGCGAGGGGGTTGTCTTCCAGCTTGTAGAAAATGGAGAATTCGATAGTTCAAGAGGCACTGTCTCGGCGTTTTTATACGTAAAACACTATTTCTGTTGTTGTTTGTAGATGATTGGTTGATTTTTTTTTTTTTTTCGTTCTTTTTCTTTGGTTCAGATATTGGAAAAGCAAGTGCTGACGGTGGCGAAGGCCGTGGAGGATAAGATAGATGACGAAATTGCAGCTATAGATCGTCTCGACCTCGATGACTTGGAGGCTTTGAGGGAGCGGAGATTGCAGCAGATGAAGAAGATGGCGGAGAAGCGTAGTCGATGGATCTCTCTTGGCCACGGCGAATACTCTGAGATTCCCGTCGAGAAGGACTTCTTCTCCATTGTCAAGGCTAGTGATCGCGTGGTCTGCCACTTTTACCGTGACAATTGGCCCTGTAAGGTAGGTTAGGTTCTATCAGTTAGTTTACTTAATCAATCATCGTTTGAATTAGTGTGCTCAATTGGATATTTTTCCCACTTAATTGTTCAAGTCGGTGATTTTTTAGGGATTGTTCTTGCAATCTTTTTAGTTTTTCCAATGTCTACCAGTTAGTTCAATGATCAAATATGGCCAGGAATATGAGACATGAGTTCATTTTTATTGATGCCTCTGGTTTCTTTTTCTTGTGCATATTGTTTTCAATCTATTGCATTTAAGGGAAACGATGCATTATCATTTACGAATTACAGGTTATGGACAAGCACTTGGGTATTTTGGCAAAGCAGCATATTGAGACGCGTTTTGTCAAAATTAATGCCGAGAAAAGTCCATTTCTGGCTGAGAAGTTGAAGATTGTTGTTCTTCCAACCCTTGCTCTTATCAAGAATGCAAAAGTGGATGATTATGTGGTATGCCATTTATGATAACACACCAGTGATTACTGAATTATAGTTTATGTCCTTTTTAACAGTTCCCCTCACTCATGTGAATCTATTAGGTGGGATTTGATGAGCTTGGTGGAACTGACGAGTTCAGCACAGAGGAACTGGAAGAGAGGTTGGCAAAATGTCAAGTCATCTTCTATGAAGGTGAATCGTCCATAAATGCTTCAAAATCTAATGCACAAACCAGGAGAAGTGTGCGGCAAAGCACAAGATCAGACTCATCAGATTCGGAATAAATTAACATTTCAGGTCTGCGAGGTTCTGTTCATATCTCACCCCTCGAATGCAAATTTTTACTTAATGGGTATCTCTTAAGTTCTTGCAGTAGCTGTTTTTTAGAAAGATAAAGTTCTTGGCTAGAAAAACATGAGATCATCTTGTGTACTTAATGGGTATCTCACCCCTTGAATGCAAATTTTTACTTAATGGGTATCTCTTAAGTTCTTGCAGTAGCTGTTTTTTAGAAAGATAAAGTTCTTGGCTATAAAATCATGAGATCATCTTGTGTACTTAATGGGTATCTCACCCCTTGAATGCAAATTTTTACTTAATGGGTATCTCTTAAGTTCTTGCAGTAGCTGTTTTTTTAGAAAGGTAAAGTTCTTGGCTAGAAAAACATGAAATCATCTTGTGTACTGAATCATGTGGGGGAGTCCTATGAACCCAGCAGTTGCATGTTTTGTGTTTGATCTGATTTCAAACCCTCTCCCCCTCCCCAAGTTGTTCTTGTATATTCCAAGTTTCAGACAAAAGTTTGACGTGAAAAAAGAGCTAGATTTTCCCTTGGCCATTCGATCCAGTTTATTTTAACGAATATGATTGAAGGATATATGATTCTAGTAAAGATTTTGATTCCAATAGGCGATTTGTTTGTCTTTTCTCTCTGTTTCTTGGTGGAATCAAAGAATTGATAGGAAAAGTGAAGTCTAAGTTTAGAACATATTCATTACATTGTTAAAAGTAGTTCATTTCTGAAAAGCAACAAATGCTACATAATAATATATATATATATATATATTTCTAGTTTTACAGCACTGGACTCAAAGTGGAAGGGTTTCTTCTAATGTGCAAAGACACGATATATAAAGTTTTAGGATCTGCTAATTGTCATCAATCTCATGATTTGATTTCAATGTATAGTACTTCACTGTTTGCGATGTGCTCGATTCAATTACGCTCGATTCAATTACGTTATACTAAGTAGTTGCACTCTACTCTATCTTGTTGCTCCATGGCAGTGTCCTAAAATAGAAATTTTGTTGTCAGAAAGTTACTAGACAAATGAAGCTTGGAGGTGCAACTATAATGCTTTCAAATGAACTTCGATTCTGAATGGAGATTGAATTATTTGATACCGTAAGCTCCATCTTTGCTTTATGAATATCTGTTAATGATAAAAGAGACTCTATTAAACCATAACAATATGACTGTTTCATAATAATTTAAAAAAATCAACATACTCTTAGTAACTTGTAGATTATTCTCATACATCCAATAAAGATAATTTTCCATAGCAGCCTCATTGCTTTCTCTTGATTTATACGACTCGACTCGCCTAGCCACAGGGTGGGCTATGATTGAAGAAGACTTCTTGTGTTTTAACCATGACTGACTTCCTAAAGCTTAAGGACAAAACATTATTTGATCACATCAAGCAATGACATCTAACTGCTGTTGAATTTGACAGACCACTTCAATTTTCTCGCCTAAGAGAAGATGTTGAGAGCGTGATAAACAGATATTCATGGAGTTAGAAGATCTAAACTTCTTGAAGGGATTCAAAAGCTGCTGCCTTTGCAATTATATACCTGACCTGGTTCCCATGAACTGTAACCCAAGTGTGCTTGTTCTTTTCTTCATTGTCTTATTGCTTTTCTACAACCTTGGTGCAGTCAAAAATGCAGATGCATTTCGACTTGAGGAGGTGGGGGCTCGACGCCGCTGCCTTTCTCCGCTACACCGGACATGGTTGTTCAAGCAATGTTGACAGTTTATCCTTGTGCAGGATGGTTTGGTGAGTTTCTTGAGAACCAGATTGGCTATGTAGAGTGGACGGACTCTAGAAATCAATTATAGGCTCTCCGACCGTTAAGTTGCGCTCGACCGTCCACGGCAGGTCAAAGAGCTTTGCTGTGATGAACTTAAAGATCTTATTGACATTGATGTTGTAAGTTGAACTGGAGAAGAACAGTGTAGCATTCAAAGCCTTGGCATAAGTTCTTGCCTGTCAAAACAAGGACATCATGAGACATTCTATGAGATCCTACATCGGTGGAGGAGAAGTAACAGACCCGTCTTAAAAACTTTGAGGAAAAGTGTGAAAGGAAAAGCCCAAATAAGACAATATCTACTATTAAGCACTCACGATTTCAATTCTTACCTCGTTTGCAATTGCCCATTGCAAATCGATGGGGAGTTGGATGAAATCATCGAACTTTGTTCCTACCAACACTGGAATCGCTCTCTGCAAAGAAAAGAGCTTTGAACGGACAAAAAGAAATTCAAAACTTCATTCTAAAAACATTATCAAACGGGTCCTAAACTCTACCTGATTATACTTTCGAGCTTGTCTATACCACTTTACAATGCTGCAAACCAAAGGGAAAACCCTCATGTTTAATTCTTCCCATTCATGAAGACCAAAGTCATTTAGATCAAACAGAAATAAGCCTCACCCGGTTAGAGTACGCCTACTTGTTAGATCAAACATAAAAAGAATTGCCACAGAGTCCTTACACGCCGTTGGAATGTAATCTTGAGATTTCTTATCACCTGCATCCACATCCTCATAACGTTCATACACAAATGCAAACACAAAACTACGTTCTAATATCATTTAAGCTGATGGGCTTCGATAAATTTAGTCTTGAAATTGTAATTGTTCAAGATGAAATGATCATGAGTTAGTAAGGAATACATCTTTATTCGTATGAGGTCTTTCGGGAAAACTCAAAGCAAAGCCATGAGAGCTTATGCTCAAAGTGAACAATATCGAGATTCATGATTCCCAATAATATTATTAGAGTCGTGCCTTTAATTTAATTATAGTGTCTTTACTAGAGTAAAAGGTGTAATTACCTTCCACTTCCCAAATGCTATAAGAAATTCTTGCTCCTCTAACCATAAGTGTTTTGTCCATCAAATTCAATCCTGTCTGCTCACTCCTTCCTTCATCCAATTCATTCCCAACATATTTAACCTTCAAAACAGACAATGAAAAACAAAACTCAGATACCAACCAAAACGCCAACAAAACAAAATCAAATTACCAGAAAACTTGTCTTTCCAATTTGGCTATCACCCAACAGGCTAATTTTCAAAGACACCAAATCTTTGTCCAGGCCATGATCATGGCACACGGATGGTGTTAGAGTCTCCGCCGCAAACCCAGCATCGTCGACAACCGTAGAAGCCGCAGTGGCTTCAGTGGGCACCGCGGGATACGCCTTAGGCTTGGTGGAGCTGTAACACGCAAGAATCGAGTCCAAAAATTGGCCGGCGTGGCGCTTGAGAGCGGTCTGCCGCTTAACACTTAGACGGAGAGGCTGTTTCCGGCAAGGTTGAGGCATTGTTGGGAAAACGTTATGGATGGCCTGGAGTGAGAGATTGGATTGGTCTCCCGGCCATGAAAATGGGAATCTGAAATGTTGGCGGTATTCATTGCAGAGGAAGGAAGAACCAGGAAGGGTATTTTTAGAATATTATTTTTTTGTTTTTTTTTAATATATATTTTTAAAATTTTAACGACATTTTAGCTATGAATGTGACGACTTTGTCGGATCGGCGGTTTACCGGTTTAATGTAACAAAACCAAATGTCCAAATTGAATTGGGAGATTCAAAAGTTGATGACAAATTCCACGTGTCAAAATCTCATGCTGCTGACGTAAACAAACCTTTGCCTCAGTCCGTCGATCATCCTACCATTGACACGTGGAATTCCTTTAATTATTTTTGTAATTTTACAATATTTAAGTTTTCTGTTATTTTTGTTTCATTTTCTTTTTCCTATTCATCATTTATATATATTTGTTTCAAACATTAAGCTTTTAAATTAGATTTTATTTTATAACTATTTTTTCAAAATATTTTTAAAACAAAATATTAATAATTTTCTTTCAAAACTGACCAGAATAATATTTTTAAATTTTTTAAAAGTTAGAATATTCTCGACATTTTTAAAAGTTTAAAGGTACTTTTTTCATAAATTATAAATAAAAATATTTTTATTAATTTGAAGAAAAAGAAAATTGTAATTTGATATCATCTGCATGTGGGATTGCTCCAACACATTAAGAAGTTGTATAAATTAGTTTGTATGACAAAAGAAGGAACTGATCTAACCCAAGAAAGACAGCCATTCTCAAATACTATATATATATATATATATATATATATATATATATATATATATATATATATATATATATATATATATATATATATATATATATATACATATATATATATATATATATATATATATATATACATATATATATATATATATATATATATATATATACATATATATATATATATATATATATATATATATACATATATATATATATATATATATATATATATATACATATATATATATATATATATATATATATATATACATATATATATATATATATATATATATATATATACATATATATATATATATATATATATATATATATACATATATATATATATATATATATATATATATATACATATATATATATATATATATATATATATATATACATATATATATATATATATATATATATATATATACATATATATATATATATATATATATATATATATACATATATATATATATATATATATATATATATATACATATATATATATATATATATATATATATATATACATATATATATATATATATATATATATATATATACATATATATATATATATATATATATATATATATACATATATATATATATATATATATATATATATATACATATATATATATATATATATATATATATATATACATATATATATATATATATATATATATATATATACATATATATATATATATATATATATATATATATACATATATATATATATATATATATATATATATATACATATATATATATATATATATATATATATATATATATATATATATATATATATATATATATATATATGTATGTATATATATATATATATATATATATATATATGTATGTATATATCCATGAATCAAGGTGGTGAATCAAGGTGGGCCTCTGAGCTCTGGCTAGCTTGTTTGTTCTCACTGACTTTTCTTTTAAGCTTGCCTTTGATTTCTGCTTCTTTTTTATCTACAAAGTGCATGAAGCTGGTAGTACGACTAAGGCGTCTCGTCCTGACAGGTTCGATATCCTCGACTTCAGGCTGGGTTTCGGGGGTAAATCTTCGGTATTGGAATAGTACTCGAAAGAAGAATATGGAAAGAGCAATAAAGCAGGCAATACCACAAATTAGGAACAATCCCCAAAAGCTACTTAGTGATAGTTGGTTTACGTCNACTTGGTTCAAGCTCATTGAACACTCGGTTCGTGACAGCCATTTGTCGTGGATCTTTTGAAGATCGCCGTTCTCCGAGAGTTGAAGAATGGCTGTTGATAAATCAACTGCAAGAGGAGAGTCTCTTTGGAATGCCTAACACACAAGTACACGTTTTCTATATGAATAACAACACATTTTCAAGTATACAATTATGGAGAAGAGATGGATTAATACTTACAAATCCCCATCCACTTTTGGTGAACTCCTGTCCAACTGTCCTGAATATGCAGTTCGTCCCGGCCAAGAAAAGCTCGACGTAAGGAAGCTCATCAACGATGGCAGCTACCCCGCCATTCCCTGGTCCACGCCGAAGAGCATCGGCATATTCCTCCTGATTTTTCAGTTTAATGATCCTAGAAGCTGCTATACTCAGCTCATTAATTAGATAATTCAATGCAAATGACCCTTCTTGCACTCCAATGGCATCTGTGCCAGAGATTAAGCTATCAATCCCTTCGATCTTTGATGTTAGCTGCTGCACCGTTAAGATCGACGTCAAACTAGCTGTGTAGCTCGAATTGATAATTAACACGACGAAGAGCCATATTATCAGCACCAGCCGTCCGAGGGTGCTTACGGTGTTTTCCTCTGCACCAAGAACAGTAAAAGAAAAAGGTCAGAAGTTCTGAGTGTATATATTGTAATAAGATCAATGAAGAAATCATGGGCGCTTGAGCAGAAGGAACTTACTGTGAGAAAAGAACATTGTCGAGAAACTAAACCTGCAAGAACGAAAAAGTTTCACTCTAAGATCTTAAAGAAGTCGGTAAGCAGCAAAGCAAGATTCAGCCATACAAAAGGCTTTAAGCTAAATGGCAAACTAAGAGCTAATGGATTTCATTGGCCTTGGTTAATGTAGTTAGCTAATGTAATAGCCCAAGCCTGCCGCTAGTAGATATTGTTCTCTTTGAATTTTTCCTTTCGAGTTTTCCCTCAATGTTTTATAACACGTCTGCTCCACACCCTTATAAATAATGTTTCGTTCCCTTCTTTAACCGATGTGGGATCTCACAATCCACTCTTCATGGGAGCCCAGTGTCCTCGCTGGCACACTACCCGATGTCTGGCTCTGTTACCATTTATAATAGCCCAATGCAGGGCCCTAATGAAAGTGGATTGTGAGATCCGACATCGGTTGAAAAGGGGAACGAAACATTCTTTATAAAGGTATAGAGCAAACACGTTTTAAAATCTTGAAGGAAAACCCGGAAGGAAAAGTCCAAAGAGGACAATATCTACTAATAGTATGTTTCGGCTATTACAGATAGATTACCCTTATCGTACCCTGCTGAATCATGGATGGGTCAAAGGTAATGCCTAAAGACTCTGCAGAGCATTTACTGAAGTCTAAAACATGTTCTTTGAGCAAATTAAAGCCTCAGTAATGAGTTTAACCATACTAACCAGAAGATTGTAATGAGTTGTTGCCTTGGCGGACCACGGAATTCTTCATTGGTCCGGTGCTCAAGAATCCAGACAACAGCTCCAACAAAAATGAAGAATATGGCAGTGACAGCCCACATTTGAACAGTAAACGGCCTGAGGAAAGCCCACGGACTGGATTTCTCCTCGTTGACGACAGTAACGACAACGAGTCCCGACTCCATAAATGGCTGTGTGAAGTCCACAATCTTCGTCCTATTTGTTACAATCGTAATATCTCCAACAGCTGCATCATATTTCTGAAGATGGAAGAAGATCATCAAGATAAGCATTATTCACATCAGACTAGAAGACAACCGATCTGGAGCACCAAAGATAAAAGAAAGGAAGAACCAAAGCCAAGTACTCACATTCTGTGAAACTTCATATACAAGATTGCTGTACTCAGGAGTGTCTTTTCCATCTCCATATAATATATATGTGCGAGGAACTGGATAAGGCAACAAGTTTAAGGCAGCTTCAAAGACATCTATACAATACCCTTTAACCCCTGGAGGGTTCTTGTCTTTAGATACAAATGCTTTGTAGCTCACACGGTTAGGTACTACAATTTGCAATGGTTTCCCGTTATGCGGGAACACCCATCCTCGAGGAACGCTCGTTACTTCACCCGGCCATATTACACTGTATAGATGGTTATTTCGGGAAGCATTAAGAGGCTTTGTATACAGATTCTCTGGTGCAATAGTTGATAAACCCGAATAATTCGACCAGTAACCGATTCTACGTATACCAGTACCCCCAATGTTAAGGATATCATAAGCTGGATGAATCAAATTTCTGTCATCACCAAACTGAATTCGTCCACTTACACCGGTGAAGTTCGTTCTCTTGATTGTCTGTAAGAGTTGTTCGCCGCCATTAAAAACTCGAAGTGATTTTAAGTGCAGTATGCTTCCATTGTTTTCACGTAGCTTGGGGTCAGTAGAAAAGTATATATGTCCACCTTCTTTAAGAAACGTGTCGAGAGCACGGGCTGCTAACCAAACAGAGTCGTATGCGTAGAGTGCATAAGAGTTGAAGCTTGAACTCTTCTTATACTTTAGTCCTTTCCATTTAGAGACAAAAATTTTCTTCAGATCGCTGTCCGGGGTGTGGTGACGAAGAGCTACAACGCCCTGTAACTGATTCATGATATCAGGAATATTTGTTTCAAAAGAATCAAGAAAAGAAGGAAGCCAATCTGTTGCAATCCAGACATAGCCACTGCTCATCATCTGAAGTTTCTTAGCTAATGAAAATACTGATAAACCAGTGTCGGGATTGACATGTACGATATACACCCGAGATTCCATCAGGTTTATCGAAACCAACAATTCACTTATTACGCTATTGGGGGATCCAGGAGAGAAAGCAGCCTTATAAGAGATCCTGGCTCGTTTCTTTGCCAAGGCGTCACTCAATGCCGATATCCCGCTCCTGCCATTATCATCATCTACAAAGATGGCAATGACCTCTCTCCATCCAAAATAATCTACCATATCAGCAATGGCGTTCATCTGGAAGTGATCACTCTGAGTCGTCCGAACGAAATACGGGTATTGCAGTGCAGATAAAGTGGGATCAGTAGCTCCAAATGATAGAAGAGGTATATGGAGTTCATTAATAACATGGGAAATGACATGAGCAATGCCTGAAGATTGTGGCCCAATAGCAGCAACTACTTCATCTTCCATCATCTGCATGGCTATATACATATTCAAGGAATCAAGTGTCACCCCTTGTTATTCTCTCTTATGAGAAAGACCAAATGGAAGAACGTGTAAGGGCGTATAAAAAATAAACAAAAAAAAAAGCAAAAAAAACCAGCCACACGAGAGGAGTCCAGACACTAACGAAGAAACGGACTCCAATCCAAAGGGTAAAACCTAAATGATAATTACANAAAAAAAAAAAAAAAAACCAGGAGAAACAAAGCATTCTTTAAAAGGGTGTGAAAACCTCTCCCTAACAGATCATTTTAAAAACCATAAGAGGAAGCACGAAAGGGAAAACTCAAAAAAGACTATTTATTAGCGGTGGGCTTAGGTTGTTACAAATGGTATTAGAGTCAGGCACCGAGCATGTGCCAGCGATGAGGCTAAGCCCCGAAGGGGGTGGACACAAGGCGGTATGCCAATAAGAACGATGGGCCCGAAGGGAGGTGGATTTGGGGGTCGGG